GGGGGGATGTACTAATCAGGATCCAACATTACCTCCGACGTTGCTGGCAAACCAAGGGGTTCCATGTTGAAGACCTGATTCCCAGTCCAGACCCAGTCAGAGCGCTCCAATGGGAGGGTGATAAGGGTTTAAGCGTTGTGGAGGGTCCGATCCTGACCGAGATGTCCAAGGATTCTCAGGGCAGTGACCAGGGATATACATCAAGAAGCACGGAGCACCAACAACCGATCCAGGTATACCTGCCAGCTTTAGAGTGGCTCCGAAAAGAGACCAATCCCAATGGTCCCTTCATCCCCGCCCGCACTCCCTCCAAAGCTAGAGTGCGTTCTCTCTGTGCCTGTTCGCCATGACCCAGGTTCACGACTTGGATGTTTCAGCACGCTCTTGCCTTGTGAAAAACCCTTCGTTTCTGCACGCGAAACCCACCCCCTCCCCACCCCCCCCCACCCCACCCGCCCCGAACCGACTCGCCGGACCCCGGACGCCGACGGAGGAAGACCATCGCGCAAAAACAGCCAGAGATGGTGCCTGCTGCCCTGGATGCCCGCCTGGCGCGACTGCTTCGCACCCGGGTGAATGGGGGCGGGCCTGCCGGGCCTGCCGGGTGGGGTGGAGGAGGGGGGGGGGGTTTGGGTCAAACTGGTGCTGGTTTTGGTGGATTTTGGAGTGGATGATCCGATTTTCTTGCTTGCTTGGGACCATGACGGATTGGTTTGGGCGCAGTCGGGCTGGGTTTCATCGTGAACATGGTTGTTTGGCTGGAGTGCGCCGTAAAAATCTTCGTGTTTCAACATGGATTGGTTGGATTGCGGGGGCCCGTGCTGGGTCCAAACACTTGAGATGAATGACTGGGGACATCAAAAAAGCGGACGACGCACCGTCACCATCACCAGGCTTTCCAGCCGCCCCACTACTTATAGGGTCTCGAAATAGGACACCTTTCGAGAAGGTCCAGGTAGACGTGGACTGGACGGCATGGCCACAACGGCTCAGATGGCTCGGATGCCCATGACATCCGAATAACCAAACAGGTGGTGCCATCCACTTCCATGATTTTGCGTCGGGCACATTTGGTTGTTTCCTTGGCTGTCACTTTTGTTGAAGAGCCATGGAGCCCGATCGCAAAAGTGTGCGGAAGTTGTTATGAAACAGTTATGTTCTGGAGTTACTGGAAGGAGGTCCGTGGAAGATGAGGGTGCATGAAGTGCATTTTTACACATGCAGCGCTTTGGTTGGGGGATTGGCTTGCTTGCTTTCCTAGATGTAGATTTCTGTCCAACTCAGAAGCAACCTCTGATATGTATAGCTACACCCCGCACGGAAGGGCAGGTTCATTCCGGTTCTATCTTAGTTTGCGGGTGTGTATATTTATATTTATATCAATGTGTGTATGTGTTTGTGTGCGTGTTTGGGGTTTGTCATTGTTGGTGCAGCCACCAATGAAACAAGGCCAAGGACAAAAAAAGTACCGTAACAGACTCTAACAGTACTTAATTACCTAGTACTGACAATGTAAGGGCTAATAAATGCTACTATGTTCTGCTGTATGAAATAGATCCATCTCAAGAGGTCATGCGTCGGACCCGGAGAGCAGGAGGTCCTGGGTTTGGTTTGGCATTTTTGTGCTTTGGTGTCCCCAACGGAAAGCTTGTAGGGAACCAGCCTTTGACAGCCAGGATTTCAAGGTGTCGTCAGCGTAACAACTTACTGCAAGTCCCTTGGAGGGCATGCCCCCGCCAGTAGAGATTCGTGTAAAGGTCATTCACCAATCGTAGTTGGTTGCTTATATTGCTTCGTGTTTGGTACGAAGGGCTTCAAAACCACTGCAAGTTGAATTTGATGTCCAGGATTCACAACACCGGCTCTTTAATTAACATGACCTTTAAAAGGTCATTGGAAAGTGGAACAAGATATGTGTTTCTATGGTCTCTTGGGCTGGTGGTAGTTGATCGCAGGTGATCCTTCACCATCCGCCTTTGAGGCACCCTTTGTCCGAGCCTGCTCTTCCTCATCATGCGCCGCCGGGCGAAGAAGGAGGCTAAACAGCGGCTCGCAGAGGAGGACGAGCGGAAGAAGGCGACTTGAGGCGGAGAACGTCCAAAAAGATCCCATGTCCCATGCATGGTGCTTTTTTCCAACCATCCGAAATGGCTGGTGCCGGAGGTTGACTGTTGCAAAAACAACAGCAACGGCGCGGAAAACGCGGCGCGTGCAACCGTGCAAAGACGCGGGAGAACTGACGATCCATCATCCGATGGGGCCAGCTGCGTCATGCGGCGGCGCCTGAATCCATCCATCCCCAGGGAGTTCACCGCATAAAGAGTTTTGCCGAAGAAGAAACACCTCTACCAGCACCTTCCAACAGGTCTCCTTTGGTGACTTTTGTAGACAAAGGTCATATACCCTAGGGCTCCAGTCGTACCTTCTAAGAAGGGCCCCTTGGGGTGGGTTTAGAGGGTCCTACTTTCTGAGGAGGTACTTGTAGCCCTAAAAAACCTATAGTGGTCAACAAATAATAGATAGCGGCACTGTTTCCAATACTTTCATGGTGGGGATCCACAAAGGTATTTTAGGAGGGTCTATATAACAAACTGTGTTGAACTGTTCTTGAGGATGATTTTCAGGTCGCTTGTCCAGTTGGACTTGGAGGCGCATGGATGGAGTCATGGCCACTTCATGGTTTGGCCCTTGGAGAGTGTCATGGGCCGTGAGAGTAGGCCATTGCTTTGAAGAGTTTCCGCTCACACCCAAAATGTGGGAGCACTCACTGAAGCGACCACCGCGCGTTTATTGTGCGGTCGCAGCCGGCCAGGCGTCCGTGGTAGATTGACCTTTTTGGGGGGTCATTTAGTAATCTATAGTCATATATAATATATACTACACTAGCAGATAGAATATTCAAACTGCCGATAAAATACCTCAAAATCTATTCTGTTTGCTAGATATAAAAACTCAGTGTATATAGTTTGTTCATCTTCGATGATGAACCGGGGTCCCCTGGTGTCTTGTATTCTCATGAGCTGACAGAATCAGCAGCAACACGGACGGGCTTTGCCATCTAAGCCTGTGGATCCAGGATTGGAAGTTTCCAAGGTAAGAAGTGCCAGAGGCAAAGGATAGTACAGAATAATACAGACAATTGCCGGGAGGTGAATGGAGATCGTTAGGAGGTGAGTGCAGTGGCTATTCTGAATGGCCCACCCCTATCAGAAAGCCATGCTTCCAATTGGCTCAATCTCTTGGCAAGTTGACACTGCCCGAGGTTTGTCATTTTCCCTCTTTTGGGAGGCATCCTGCATCATTCTTGGACGGTGTTCAAATTTCAAGTGACACAAAAGACATGGTCACGTGTTGTTGTTTCCGCCACTGCCAGGGGCATTGACATTTTGTTGAGCATTGACATCTTCTAACTATGCAACAGATCTGCCGAACTTGGCTGGCTTTAGAGATGACAGACATGTTGCACAGTTCGACACGTTCGATCCACGAAGACCTTTGGCGCCCCTAAGCCCCATCCAGAGCTGCTACAACTGGCCTCTGCCGTGCCCGATGTGCGCGACTCTTCAGGCCCAGCAAGCAGGTGTGGCACAAGATCGACGCCGAGTGGCGCGAGAGAGGTATCGCACGGTCCATCCCGGAGGGATTTGAGCCTTGGCCAGCTCGACTGGCTGCGTGGGCCAGGTACACATGCACAACATGCACACCATGCACACCTGGATTTGTGGCAAGGAACATGGAAGGACCTGGGCCTTGAATCAGGTTCCCGCCCCGCACAACATACACAAGCAACCAGAATAAAAAAGGAAGCATCCAGCTTGTTGCGATTTGACTGTTTGATCATGCTATGGGTCTTCTCGCCTTCCACGCCTTCCACTTGGGTCGGCGGAAGTCGTTTGGACTTGACGTTGGACCCTTCGCGGCCGTCCCAGGAGCGCTTCCCATCCTCCTTGCTTCACCTGCAGCCCCCACCAGCGCCGCCCACGCCTGCACGTCCAACACCTCTCAGCACGGCGGCGACGGCTCGTGCCAGCGTGTGGCCGGCTGCTAAGGTCTCAGAGACTCGAAGTGCCAAAGAAAAACCGCCCGTAAGGCCGGCATGGCCTCGAAAGTAGGCGGTGAGATGCCAGGTGCTCGAGATGTCTGGTCCGACATGGTCCGACTAGAATGAGTGTTTAATCATGAAACAATCGTCATTTGATCTAAAGATGTTTGAAAGATTTTGAAGCCTGAATGGGCTGGATGTGCTTTCCATTGTATTGGGTGGTTAGAGGAGATCGTCAAAGCCTGATCCTTCACCACGGGTCACTGGCTCAGCCAAGCCTCTAAGAGGCTTGTGCCTTCCAATGGGTCATCCGGCATCCGGCTAGTAAGATGCTTCATGTCATCAAAAGAGATGATAGGCTAGTAAGATGGCAAGACTCGGATGGCAAGACTTAGTGGATCCGGCTAGGCTAGTAAGATGCTAGGCTAGTAAGATGCTTCATGCCATCAAAAGAGATCATTACCCCAAACACCCAGACTTGAGCCCTCCCCAGGAGTCAGAACCCAAGACCGGAGCACCGCGCCGAGCGCCGCGCCAGTGCTCCAAGGCGAAGTACCTGGGAAAGGTGTGTGAAGTCGTTGAAGCAACTGTCGGCTGGGAGGAAGCCCTCGCCATGCTGAAGGAGAGGCAACTCTTTGCGCCCAGTCAACAGTTCCTCGGTCGCCCTGTGTGCGAGTGGAGGGGAAGACGTCTGATCTTCTCTTTCGGATGGGTGTTAGATTTGCATCGGAGAGCCCTGAAAGAGGGGATCAACAAGCAATTTATTGTGGATTGAGAGGACCAATGGCACAGACCCCTATGTCGGTGGTTTATTTGTACCACCATGTGTCCAGGACATCATGGGGTGCCAGCGCCATCGAACCTTTGAAAACACTGTAGTCCAATCTGGCCCTCAGATGGCAAGGCTTTGAAACAGGACCCCTACGAAGATGTTGGGCAAGAATTCCACGATTCGACGGAGAGATGGGCGCTACTCGATCCAGATCCAGTTGGAGAAGGAGAAATCGAAAATTCACCTGTACTCGATTTGGGGCGTCGCTCAACTGGGGAGCGAAAAGATTATTGTAATGATTGCTGGTTGCCAATTAGGAATTGACTGCAAAGACAGCCACAGACAAGAGTCTTAGGCGAATGTGAAAGAAAGAAAGATTGCTGGTTCACTCTCCAAAAAGCCGGGGGAGGTTTCACCCGGCAAGCGATCCGTGATATGCACCCGCATTTGCCATCGTTTGCCGCTATGCTGCCGCTTAGGCCGTACGGCTGGATCGGCTGGATCAGTCGTTTTCAACCCCTTCAGCTTCGAGAAAACTCGGTAGGAGCAGTGCAAGCAGAGACATCGGTATTATGAGCTTGTTGACCCTAGGCTATTCACTTCTGTATAGGTACCAGAAGTAGCACCTTGGCAAAATACAGGAGCAAACACATTGAGAAGCAAATTGGATAGGACGTTGACTTCAGAATCAGTGAAGCTCAAGATCACGGGCCAATGGCGATGAGAATCTCAGCGCTACTGGTGAATGGCGAGCCAATTTGTCTCGAAGTGGCACCAGAGACAACAGGTAGAGAGCTAAAGCAGCAGATCAAAGAAGGGCAGCTGACCTGGGATGAGGATACTCGCAGAACTACTGGGGTGGAGATTATTCTTGGAGATCGATGGGCAATGATGAAACAGTGGCGGATGTAGGGGTCACTGCAAGTGCTGCTGTGAGCGTTGTCTTCAAGCCAAACAGAGTCAGATGCTCTATCAGAGATGAGATTGACAGCCGCAGCAGTGAGATTGACTCAGAAGTGTTGCTCGTTGTTGAACTCCCAAGCAATGAAACTTGAATTGCTGACAGGGCCTTTATGGACTGCCAACAAGTGGCAAAGTTGATTATCCCAGACTCAGTGACCCACATTGGGGCCTATGCCTTTGCACATTGCAGCTCTTTGACAAGCTTGACC